GGGGGGGGAGAAATTTTCGACCAAGGACCAGTCGGGTGGTTTTTGTTGTAGGTTGCATATACAAAGAGTTAAACTAAGAGTTAAAGGGTTAATGGTCCATTTTTTAAATCAGAATCCTCCGCTTTGTCCTTCATTCAAAGACCTAACAGAAACTAGAGCCGCTGTGTCAAAAACTCCACCACCTCAAGAACAGCATGAGTTGACAAAACTGAAACAATCATATAAACTAAGAAAAGAGATGATGAGAAGACTACTCCTTCTGTGGAAGTCTACGAGGGTGGACTATCAAGGTGGTTTTTTCACCTTGTGTAGGAAAACGACAAGGAAAGGCGTTGTTGTTTCGATTTAAAATATAATTATAACGTTTGAGGAAAATATCCTGTTGCTGTTATTGTGAACTGAGAAAAAAAAACATTGACCGCATAATGACAGCCAAATTTGAATTGTCCAGGTAGGCACTTGATAATATATTTATTACTATCCTTTTTATAGCGTCAACTTTCGTATGAACACAGCTCTAGGCATTTGGTTACAACCTAAGCAAAGGGCTATGTTACTCCATATTTTATTGTTCACCCAGATAGGGGTATGACCGTACGGTGTAGACATGAAGAAGTTAAGGTTTAAAAAAAAATTAAATGTAGGAGTTTTTAATCCCAAATCGTTACAAAATTGATCATTTTGGAAGCAGGCTTCGATCCTGCCTGTCAGGGCCAACACAGGCTCAAAGGGATAGATCTACGATATCGCAGCAGAAAGACCGATTAACTCGATAACAATAGCATTTCTCCCCTCACGGGAATCGAACTCAAGTCTCCTGCGTGCGACATGAAAGCGCTTAGCCTCTGCACCACAAATTGTGCAAAAGTTCTCCAAGACACGGGTATGAACGCCGACGTAGACATGTTCTAAAGTATTGACAGGTTTTTGTTATTTCAATCAAAATTGGAGAGAGACGTTTCGTTCTTTCCGTACCTTTTAGAAGTCAAAATTGGAGAGAGAGAGAGAGAGAGAGAAAGAGAGAG